AGCGTGTACGGACGGAGCAGGTCGAGTGGCGTTTTGCTCGGGCTGACTACAGCGGCGCCGGATGGAGCAGTGGCACCGGAGCATGCGGGCGACATCGACCCGTGGCGCACGGACAAACATTTCTATCTGTGTTGTCAATTTTTTTCGTTTTTTTTCTGACTTTCCGTGTTGGTTCTGTGTGATGACGACGTCACCGGTTTTGTAGAGAGACCCGTCAGAGATGGCGTGGCTAACCCGGGTGCATTGGTTTTGTGCCTGATCGTGGAAGACCCCTTCAATGTGGAACGATTCTTACACTGCTAACCCGACGCTGGGCCTCCTAACGCCCCGCAAGGAGAGAGGTAGGGGTATTATTATCAGGCCGTACTGCTGTTGTCTATTTGGTCTTAACAATTGACGCCGTGGTCTCAGGCTGTGTAACTTACCCAAAGAGTGCCATTAGTTGTAGAAGTACGTTGTTTATTACATAAACTAACCAGTTTCCGTTTCCACATTCCACGGTGTTCTTGAGCCGAACCACAACCGACTCATGCTATGTAGCAGCGCACAGTCAAGACACTACTTAATTCCGCGTTGTTGTTGTTTGCAACCCTTGCCAAACACTCACTTGATCGCCCATAATTTTCGAACCTGCTCTGCTGGTGTGCTGATCGGTCTGAGCAAGTTGGTCTGGGTGTGCAAGGCGAAAAGAAGCAAAGACAGCAGTAAAACAAAATACAACGTAAATATAGGAACACCTTCCCGTCCTCGCATGCTCACGCGGTCGAGCACGCATCCACTGCACGAAAGATGGAATCAATCAAACAAACAATGCTACCTACCGCAGGTGCATGCAAACACGGCTCTTCTTGCCCTCTGTATCTTCCAAGTACGTTATAAAGGAACGAGCGAGTGCGCGGCGGTGTTGCATTTCTTCGCAATCTTGTTCAGTGTCTTCAGGGATCTCCACTCTGCCACTGCTTGCTGTAACTGGAGAACAATTCAACATAGTCTATCCACGTTCCCAAGATCAGGGCAACGAACCTGCAGAGTCAAGTCTCCTTGGGGAAGTTAAATTGCACCCATGGTACATTATAGTTATCCCGTGTTGCCGCGGGTTGACGGGTGTTTTTTGTTTCGCTCCGTCTCCGCAGCGCTGACGTTTTTGGTGTCTGCGTTGCTTCCGTACTTGATCGTGACTTGGCTTCCGGGAACGACTCCGTTCCCTTGCCCCGGAAGAGCCGTGGAAGAGGGGGGATTGAGCAGCGTTGTTGGACAAACGATTTGCTTGGATTAAAACGCCGGCGATTGATTGACCGCAGTGTGGTATGCATAGCAGCGCGGCTTTCGAGTCGGTCAGCGTTGCATTTTGTCCGAAAGTAGTTACAATGTACTGGAAACCTGCAGCAGCAAACAACAAC